AAGAGAAGGCTGAGGGGGGATCTTGTGGCCTGTTATAAACTGGTTAGGGGGGATCAGCAGGCGCTGGGGGAGTCCCTGTTCCCCCAAGTGCCACAAGGAGTAACCAGGAACAATGGTCACAAGCTGGCGGAGGGAAGGTTTAAGTTGGACATCAGGAGGTGCTACTTCACGGTCAGGGCGGCTAGGGTCTGGAACCAGCTTCCAAGTGAGGTGGTGCAGGCTCCCACCCTGGGGGTTTTTAAGAGGAGGTTGGATGACCACCTTACTGGGGTCGTTTGACCCCAGTGCTCTTCCTGCCATGGCAGGGGGTCGGACTAGATGATCTGCTCAGGTCCCTTCCGACCCTAGAAACTATGAAACTATATTGTCTCATTGCTGGGGCCCCAGATTGCGAGGCAGGACCCTAATGTGTGTCGGGCCATCCCGCTGGACAAGAGAGTGGCAATGGCTATCATGAAACTGGCCACCCTGTCCAGCCTCTGCTACATTGTGAACCAGTTCAGCATGGCTCCCTGCATGGCTGGGTCGGCAACTTGTGAGGTATACCAGCTGCTGCAGGACATTGCTGCAAACAGATTTATCTGCCTGGGGAATCCACAGGAAGTCATAGATTGCTTCAATGACATGAGGTTCCCTAACTGCATGGGGGCTTTAGACAGCACTCACATCCCAGTCCTGTGCCCTTCAGGGAGGGGGAGGTCTTTTACAAACAAGGAAGGGTTTGCCTCCATGATCCTGCAAGCTGAGGTGTACCACGGGAGCTGGTTCACAAACATTTTTATATCATGGGCTGGAAGCACTCATAACACATGCATGTTCAGAAACTCCCCACTCCTGGCCTCATGGGGAAAGGACATTAAGCATCTGGAGTCCACAAAACAGTGATCTGTAGTGTTGCTGTTCCCCCTCTGGTTATGTTAATGGACACTGCCTACCCCCTAAAGCCCTGGAGGGAACGTTATGGACCCACAGAAGCTGGTTTTCAACAACCGTCTGAGTAGTTGCAGGATGGCCATTGAATGTGCATTTGGACAACTGAAAGGATGATGGAGGGCACTTATATGCCAGCTCGAGCTGGAGCCAGAAAATATCATGGCCTTTGTAGTGGCAGCTTGCATGCTGCACAACATCTGTGAGACCTGCAGAGAGGTTTGCAGCCAGGCATGGGCTGAAGAAGCATGACAGGCAGTGGCCAGACAGCAGCGCAGGGACCGAGGAGATATGCACAAGGAGAAGCTGGTTGGGCAGCCCTTGTGCGGGGTTGTCTGGCAGCACATATTGCTGACAGGAACTAGCAACGCTTGTTCTTTCTTTTGATTACAATAAATTCTTTTACAATTTACAACATAAACATCTGTGTCTGTCTGCAGGGGTGTGCAGTGTAGTGGATGGGGGCTGGAGGGGAGGACAAGCTGGAAGGCTTAAGTATACCTCTCGTGGGCTGGCTGGGGGCAGGGGCGGCTGGTGGCACCCACGGGGGTGGGTGAACAGCCTGAAGTCTGCCTTAGGAGTGTGATTGAGGGAGGGGCATATTCCACTTCAGGCCCAACAACAACAACCCACCATTTCAAAAACATTTTGCAACACCCCTCCAAAAGTCATATGTCGCACAGATTCAAGATGGACTGTGGGCAGGGAAGGGGAGCAGGGGAAGCAGCACACATCCCCATGGAAACTGTTCCAAGCCCTGGCAGCTTGGGAATGCTGGGAAATGTAGTCCTAAAAGGTCAGAAAAGTAAGAGCTCACCACCGCCATCAGCCTCAGTCACCAACTGTGGTAGCAACACCCACCCACCCACCGGCTAATCTCAACCCCATCCACTTCTGATATCATATCAGTTATTTATATAGTAAAAAAAGAAAATTCATATATATAAATTCTCATTACTCTGTAATATTGGGGAAAGGGAAGCAGACAGGAGGAGATGATTCACACAGCTTGCCGTTGGCATCACCATGGGGGTCGCCTACTGGGAAACTGGCCTGAGCCTAGGTGGGTGCAAGTGACAGGGTTTTCAGGTGACCGTGTCCATGGGTAGGTGGGTGGAATTAGCAGGAGACTCCCTGCGAGTGCAGAGGGTGGGGATTTTGAAGGCTGGTTAACATGTGCCTCCTGCTGTAATTCATTAGGAAAGACATTACTGGGGGTAGATTGGTTTTTTGCCTCCCCCTGCTGGAATCTGTGGGGAATGACACACAAGTCTTAACTCTCTTGAAAGAGCATGATGTGCAAACACAAATGCACTGCACCACAATAACCCAGGTTAAAAATATTCAGGCATGGTAAATTAATGAGGATCAAATGCCATGCCTTGTCAATATCACGGGTCTTCTCAACAGATTCGATTTGAAGCTTCAAGGCCATGGGAAGTTTGCTTTGGCTCTTTTTCAGTGTCAGGTCCCCTGAAAGAAAATTAAAATGGCTGCAGAAGCAATTTAAAGAAGGCAGTGCCGCTCATTTTGCAATGTAGAGTGATCTTGGGTGAAGAATCCAGTGCAATGGAAGTTTTACATTCAGAAAAGTATTTCTAAATCATTCAGCATTTGTTAGATGAATTCAGCTGGCGCTCTTTGGATTCTAAATCTCACAGACAGGTACTGGCTGTTTTTTTAATCCAGTACTGTACCAGAAAGTTCTTTTACAGACATGCAGTTAGAATTAATTGAGTTGCAAGAAAGTACATAAACACACAAACATTTGACCATGAACTTAGGCTGACTGTGTTCTCTGAAGGACTCTGTCTGCCCTGCCATATGTAAACATAGATGACACATGGCTTTTCTTTTTGGAATCACATATATATATAAGAAAACCTTCTCTACATTGAATATAAGTACATCTAAGTTAAGATCCAGGCTGACAAGTGGTCATCTTCATGCAGCTCACTGTATTGCAACATCAAGCATTGAACCAAGATTGCAATGCGTGATGTCTGACATGTCAGCTGCATTTAAATCTCAGTCAATTAAAATTTCACTCTTTTCTTGTGCAATGTATTTGTATATCATTTCTATCATGTATATCATGATATATCATATCTTTTATTTAATTTTTTAATACTCAGCAAAATAATTCAAGTTATTGAATGTACAGTTTCATTTGTTATTATCGGGTAAATCTATACATCTGTGTAACAGTAAAATAAATAAATAAAAATAAAGCTAATAAATAAAAAATGTTATTGTGTGCTTTTTTTTTCCCTGAACAGAAATGTAAAATTTTAAGAAATTGTCATTATGCAACCCATCACCCGGGACTGCCTCTCTGAAATAGCTATTCAGGGGCAAACATTTGGGAACCCTTGCTCTTGAGTATCTCACTGTAGTCCTTTACTTCCCAGAATGCATTGTTCTAGGGGTCGGGGGTGTATGTGTGTGTCAAACATATGGCCTGCAGACTGAATCTGGGCCATGGAACCAGGTGATCTGGCCTGTGGGTCTGAAAAATGACTCACTGCGCAGAGCCAGTCTGGCATGCAGACTTGACCTGGCATCATGGGTGCTGCACTCAGCAGAAGGGATAAGTCCAGGGCACATATTGCAGACCCCCAGTGCTGCATGCACCTCCCATGGCCCCATATGCTGTGTGCAGCACATGCTGGCTTCACTACTGGACTTGCTTTGCGTGTGGTACAGGGGCTGGTATAGGTTGCACGCTGCATGCAGCGCCTCACTGGACTGGCTCTGTATGCTGACTCTAGTGGATGCTGCCAATCTGGCCTACAGACTATCCTGCCCTTCATCTGGCCCAAGGGGCTGGATGATTTTAACACCCCTGTTCGATGACGTCTGCTTGCATAGGTGTCAATATTATTGTTGGCCAAACATCAGCAGATGATTATAGGTGAAGCCCTAGTGAAGTCAATGGAACCAAGTCAATTTATGTCCATGACAATCTGGCCTACAACAGTGGAGTCTTCTTCCTGACGTCCCATGTATTTAAAAAAGATGGCATCTGGAAAATCATTATATAACTGACCTCTCGAAGTGGAAAGGGTTCCTTTGACATTTAAGGACCTGGTCTTATTGAGCAAAAGGTGATGAACAGCCTCAAGTCTCAATGGGAGTTGAGAGTGCCTAGTACCATGCAAAACTGAGCATCTTTGGAGTAGCTCCTAATGACATCAGAGGACATTTTGTTACTGATTTCAATAGGAGCAGCTTTAGGCTGATAGGACCTTGATTATCCATTGACTTGAGTTTGTGTATCCATTTACAGCTGTGCCAAGCAAGTAGAGAGGGTCTGACCTGGCAGCTTTTCAATACCCTACTTTGTACACATGTAGCCACTGGAGAATCACACCCTTAGAAAAAACAAGGAAAGATGGGTGAAATGGAGCTTCACATATGGTACATGAGGGTACTCCTGGTTAAGCCTTAGCCATTAACTCCTATGCTACTTTCTTGTGCAGGTACCACCATTGCCCGCACCTCACAAGGATCTATGACAGTAGTGAGAAGCCATGTTGCCTGTCAGAGTACATGGAGAAATATCCCCTTTACCCGACAACCCATCCCAGAGATTCATTCAAGCCCAAGGGAGAATACAAGAGGCTTCCAGTGCCTATGGAAGGCACCTCGACTACAAAGTAAGAAATGGTAAAAGGGAGGGAAAATTGTAGGGCCGTGACAGTGAGTGCATGAATGTGGGGAGTTGGGGTTGAGGGGAGGAAAATCATCATTACATCCCATGTGTCCTCAGGCTCTGGCATCAAAAATCCTCTGCTTGCCTGAGTGGCATCTAATTAGAAGCATTAAAAGGTGTCAGTGAATGGTGATTTTCAATTGCAGCTTCTCTCATTGAGGGGAACGTGTTATTAGTTTGGGGTCTACTTTTCTCCTCCTGCTCCTCTCTCTCTCTCTCATGTTGATGTTTCTTGTTCTCCTTTATGCTCTGGCTTTTTGGTTACTTCCTAAAGACATATGAAGAGGCTTGGTTACTTTCATTGATGAAGCAGGAACACCTGGACTAAGTACAAGACAGTCAAAAAGCCTGAGTCTGAATCAATTCAGTCTTCATAGGTTAGTCTGAGCTGTGTAGATTGAACAGATAAGCAAGTGAATAGACCTTCACTTTTGATTCCAGAAATGCAGCCACATGCCTGCAGTGGTTCAGGCCAGAAACCACGGGACCCTAGAGTATGCCACCCTGCTCAGGTGGAGCATACAGCTTGGGCCAAGGTTAACTTGCCCACTCTGTGAAGCAGGATTTGCAGGGGAGGTACAAAGCATCCTGGGATGCTGGGGGACTGTGAGTTAACTTGGATCTGGAGGGGATTGGGGACAGAAGTTCAATGAACCAATTTAACTTACATCAGTTAAGTCTGTTACTACTCCAGGTGTATCTTAAACTGGTTTTGGCCACTTTGAAAGTGGTTTATATGTACTGACCTTCTGTTGTATTACAAATTTGGACTGCTTTCTGATCACTTATACTGGTTTATGTGTAATTTTTGTTCCTAGCCCTGGACATTAGTTCAAGGGTCACACAAACATTAGACTCAAGCTCCCTCAGCAGGGGACACCTAAATTATGGTGTCTCTTTCCCGGTCTGTTGGAAAAGTCAATGTTCATTCCCCCAAATTCACAATCCTTTGATTAGATTTACTGACAGCTTTGTACAATTTACTGTTATAATTAATTATACAAATCATCAGGTGTCTAACTCATTTGGCACCCCTCTATGCTGGATCCAGACTGAGGGGCTGCTTGTAGGCTGGATCCAGACTCCAGGGCTCTTCACTGTGCAAATCTGGACCCACCTTCAGTGGCAAGGTGAGCCGTGGGGCAAGCAGTGCCAATTAGCTTTGGGAGCTAATGCAACCCTTGCTCACCTACTGCCACGAGAACACATCCCCAACAGGGCTTCTATATCTTGGAATGTGATGGAGGGCCCTGCCCCTGCTCCCCTAATTTCTGAATTCCCGGTGCCTCTAGAAGCCCCACAGGTTGGATGACATGGCTCCATGAGCCAGATCTGGACCACAGGCTGCATTTTTGTCACCTATGATATTTATCATGCCGCTATGTTTCCAACATGCACCCTGTGAATTTCCTTCCAGAGACATTGATGCAAATGATCTGCAATCCAGGTTCTGGCTGCGGTGATATTGGAGTGTTATTTGTTGGTTATTTACTCCCTAGTCTTCAGTTCAGTGTTGAGGGGTTGTCAGCTGTAAAGTATTCAGTAATAGAGAGCCCTGGAAATATTTCTGTCTCTAAGGAATGCATGTATATTATGTCCTTGTCAGGAAGAGGCTATCACGTTGCTAGTTATAATGTTAATCAAAACCTTGATAAAACCATTTATGTGAAATCTAATGTGGGGGATGCAGAAGTCAGACTTACTATTTTGTCTCACTGTGCCATTAAAATTGTAAATGTTTAAAACCTTTTGCTGGAGTAGAGAATGCTCCATCTTTACCAACATCTTAATATCCACTCATCTATGTTGGGAACTGGAACAGCTGTACCACCTCATGGGGTTACAGAAAGTGTGCTGAGGGTGCAGCGGGCTCCTATAAAGGACTGATGTCTCTTGAATGACCATAAACAGCCATTTACTTGTTTCTCTGTATAATGGAGAATGGATTATTCTCCTGGGTTACCTCACTGGGGCTAACAATGGTCAGTCTTCTGTGGAACTCTTGGAAGCTTCCCAGGCATGCTGCTGCATTTTCAGTCAGACAGGTGTGATGAGATCAAAAGAGCAATTTTCAATCCTCCAGCATCCCAGGATGCAGCACTTCCAGTCTGTCATGCTCCCCCCGTTCCTACATCCAGAGTAGGGATAGGGCCCAGGCATCCTGGCTTCTAGTGGCAAGTCAGAGCTGTGCAGGCCAGAAATGGTATTAACCCTTAACGTGTGACTGCCCACAGCATGTTCCAGCTTAACACCACTTAATGTTCCACAGATTTAATGTGGTTTAAGTATAACATGTAACTTCACCCTATGTGTCCTTATAGTAGTCTTCACTGAAACACTGGAGTCCTGACAGGAAGGAGTAGAAGCTAAAAAATCCCAAGGGAGATAGGTATCAAAATCATGTTGAATATTAGTGGGATGTAGGTGACTAACCATTAGGCTCTACTGAATATTTGTAGCCATAAAGAAATTACTCTTCATGATTGTTATGGAGTGAGGGCTCATGAAATGTCTGTTACAAAGCTGACCCAACTCTACTAGTATATCTCATTCCCAACCTAAACAAGTCTATTACCTCTGCTAACATGGACCTTACTTTTAACATAGGCCTTTGAATTGTGTAGTACATTTTTCCTAGAATGAGACCATGATATTCACTGGTTATATTTTTCCTTGGTGTAAGTCTACTGTATAAACTCTGGGTTCACTGGGTTCGGACAAGGTGGAATTTGGTCCACTTAAGGTAGCCCAGAGCTATATCAGCCTCTTTTTTACACGTAATTTCAGAACTATTGAAGCTCAAGTTTCTACAAGTGAAGGCTTGTGCATTTCATTAGCCACCTGTATCTTATTCAGACTTTCTGGGGGTGAAGTGTTCATTTCTTTGTGTGTCCAGCAGAAGGAACATAAACTTTACCCTTAGGACAAAGACATAAGTATGATATATTGACATTATTGTTCACAGGAGAGATTACGTGGCTCATGAAGTGTTGCCAGTGAAATGCAAGCTACCTGAAAAGTATGTCAAGAGTGATGATAATATGGATTTGACCTCCACATATACACAAGACTATAATCCCTACCCTATTTGCCGAATACCTCCGTGCTTACCCCATGAGACTAAGTATACCTCCAGTGACAAGATGAGTACTATACCTACCTACAAAGGTATGCACCCACACACCCTAGCAGCTAGTTTGTAAAGTGGGCTTCAGTAATAACAGCTTTCTTGAAGAAGCCATAACAAGAATACAGTGTCTGTTATTCCTTATATCCCCATCTCTAATAGGTAGCTTCTATAGAAGCTATAACCACAAAATAATTACTAGAGACCTGAAGAAGAATATATTGCATTCAGAAGCTTGTTTAAGACTATCCCAACCATGCAGTTGGTCCAATAAAAATATCATCCAAGGAAATCATTTCCTTCTGGGAATGCATCTGGGTTGGATATAGAATAAAGACAACATTGTAAATTATTTCTAATTCTCTGTCTCCTTCAGGTTGGCCAGATTTATTTTTGGGTTGTCCAGCTATGTGGAAGTCTTTCCCCGCTCTTCTTGCCAACTGCCTAGAGAGCCTCAGAGCCTTCATTGGGCCCTTTGCCACTGCCCCAAACATAGGCTACAACAGGAAGCTGAAGAGCAACGCAAGTTGCCACATATCAAGTGTGGTGCATTTTTATTGCTCTGGTCCCCTGTTGTCCAGCTGCTAGATGCTTCCAGTTTAGCAGAGCATGTTACCTTTTTTTTTGAAACTGCTGCAAGTTTTCGCACAGATATTCAATAAAAACACTTTTGAACAGTACTCTTGTACTTACTGGGCATGTCTACACAAGACAATTATTGAGGAGCTAACTAATTAGCTCGGCAGTAAACATTTTAGTGTCTACACATGTACCCCAATTAGGGTGCACAAAACTAGGGGGCACAAAACTACCACCGCAGGGTAGTGCTGGTATTTGCAAATACAGGTACTACCCTGCTGCAAAGAATTTTTGTGCGCAGCAGCACACATGGAGACACTGAGCTGTCTGGCTGGGGCACCAGGGTGCTTTGGTGTGGGAGCTGCACTTACCTAGTCTGCATCATAGCATTAAAAGTTTTTATTAATCACCTCTCAAGGTGCAAATCATATGTAATGTGCCATTCTGTGAGGTTTCATATAATACTGCTTTGGCAATAAATGCCTTTTGTATGAAGTTGTAAGTCTATACAATCCAGTGCTATATTGGATTGTGGGTTTAAATAAAGTGGCTAGATATCACAGTGCAAATTAATTTTTAACACTGTATGAACTATATTTTCAAATTATCTTGTCTTAGCTACACTTAACTGCTTGTATGTATCCATGGGTATGTAACCTAATTTTAGGGTTGTTTGGCTTGGTTATACTGAGATCTGCCTGAGCCTGTATAACACGTGATTCATATCAAAGGTTCTCTTCCATATTCCCTAATGTTTTTAAGATGGTGGTACATGGAAAACCATTAATATTTACTGGAGAAGAATTAGAGTTTCAATAAAATTTTAACATATTTTGAGGAGATAGTACCATGTTGGCTTAAACTAAGTAAAATAAATTCATAATGTCTAGGATGACTCCAAATGTGTGGAGATGGTAAAAGTTTAAAATTGAAGAGACATGGAAACTTTTGTTGTATTTCTAATATTTTGTAAAACGCTTGATAGCATCTATGAACTGCATGGACTAGAGTATTACAAACAAGGCTAAGAAACTGTGAAAAACTGTGGGTTTCAGTGTGACTTTGATTTTCTAAGTACTTTAAGTGTCAGACCTTTTGAACCACCTGTGCTCTTTCTTGGAGACAGTCTTTCATGAACAGGAGCACCTGGCTAGTTTCTCACTTAATGAGCCCCTGCACCCTCTCATACTAGGTTCCAGCTTGGTCTATGCCTCTAGTTGGCCTTTGTAGGTGTTCTACTTTTGAAAAATTATGTGCTCTGCTAATCTTTCAGTTGACTCTGGGATGATTCTTACCAGGAATTAGAGTAGACATCTCAAGAGCTGCTACAGCTCTGTAGCAAGGGGTCATAACTTATTTCCACTGTAACAAACACTCACTTTTTGGTGACATACTTCCTTGGCTCAAAGGAAGTTCAACCTGAACATCTGCGCCTACAGCAGTTTGAATCCTGGATGATGATGACCACTATTTTGGGATTGAACTGGGGAATCTCAAGAGATAAAACCAACCTAGAGTTCTAGTTTGAGCGGAAACTAGTTTGAGCTAGGAAGTTTTTAAGGCTTGGCTTGACAAAGCCCTGGCTGGGATTTCTAGTTGGGGATGGTCCTACTTTGAGCAGGGAGTTGGACTAGATGACCTCCTGAGGTCCCTTCCAATCCTAATTTCCTATGATTCTAAAGAGCTGGCAGGAAAGGTTAAGGAGAGGGGTAGGAGTTGAACCTCACATCTCAAACATATTTTGGTGCCTAATTCCAGGGTGGAGGGAAGTGCCTTTTTTCACTTGGGGCTTCCCATTGTGAACTCTCTCCTGGAATTAAGCCAGGTCAGGCTTATCTCAAGGAAAAGCACCAAGAGAGTACTCCCCTCCACTCCAGTAGCCTAGTGGTTGGGGCACTTAACTGGGAAGTGTGAGACATGGGTACACATTCCTGCTATAAATTAAGCTCAGGAGAATTTTGAACAAAGGTTGCTGAGTCTGAGGAGGGCTACCGTCTCCTGTCTGTTCTGTAGGTTAGGGCCCCTCCAGCTGGGAGCTCCAATCACCTGACTGGGCTCCCAGCCTCAGGGGCACAGGCTGCACATTAAAATTAAAGCTGGATAGAAACCAGCTATACAGTTATTACACATTTTCCAGCAATAACTTTATAGTTGGTTGGACCTTTTTAAAGGTATCATGGTTAATTTGCATGTGTGGCCAGCCTAAATTAATTGCACAATTAACCAGAAAATTGCATAATACATGTGATGAGTAGAGGGGAGCCTTAGACATACCTGTTCTGAAAATCCATACCAAATCTGGCCCTGCAAAGCAGCTAGGTCGAGAAATGCCTGGGTTGAGATGCCTTTCAGGGCTTAAGTGAGAATGAGGTCTCCAAGCAGCCTAGCATTTCCAGGCCTTGAGTGATTATACACAAGCCCAGCAGCAAAAATATAGTCCTCTAGGGATATTAGGCAGCAGCTGAGAGGTTTTGAGAATTTCAGCAGCCACTTTTGGCAATTTCAATGAACTGTGCATAAAAGAAAAGAAGTTATTTCTGCTTAAGAATTCAGTCTGAATGCCTAAGCTACTTATGATTTTGCTTTGGAATGAAAATATTCACAAGTGATTTAAAATAATACACTTACCCAGCTGCTGGGTGGCAGCACAACTGGGCGCATCTACAGGTGACATTATTGTACTGAAAAACCAGAGGACCCTCCCCCCTCTCCCTCTCCCTCTCCCGCAGCCAAGGTGCATCCAGATCTGGCCCATGAGGAGCTGCAGGGATTAATGCAGCTTGCTCTTGCTTCCTACTGCTGCTGCCAAAACACATCCCGAGCAGGGCTCTGGACTGCGGAGTTTGAAGGTGGGTTCCAGCTCCCACCTCCCTCACCCCAGCCTTTCCAGGAGTCCCATGGCACAGATCTGACCCAGGGGCCATATCTTTGACACTCCATAGTAATGGGTAGGCAACTAAATTTCTTTGTAGATTTAGCCCCAAATCTCCTTGTTGACATAATCCTGGCCTCAATGGGGAGTTTGCCACTGACTTCCAGATGTCTTCAAAAACAACCAAAATTTCAAACTTCAGAAAAGCACATGGAAAAGCACCCTGCTAGCTGACCAGGAGGCCCCCTTTTTTTTCTGCAGTCTTGCAATGAGTGCATTTTTTGCAGAGTATATTGAGGGCTCAAAAGGAAGCTAGAGTCCTCAGCAGCATCAGTATCAGTCTTTTGCTGCTCTGCTCTTAAGGTCAGGACAGTGACTTGTGACCAAACATTTAGTTTTTTTAAATGTAGTTTTCATTTTCAGCTTTCCACTATCATGCACTTAGCTCTGGTATAATTCTGTTTGTGCTGTATGATAGCCACAATTTCAGTGGGAATAACACTGTTTGGATTGGAGAGGTCAAATACCCTGATACTTAATTGCATCGTTTGCTTTCTAGTACTCTGAAATCCAGACTTCCTTCCTAGGCAGAATCAGCTGGAAGGTTATTTGCCTCATGATTCTCTATGTGGTTTAAAAGTGAAAAAAAAAGAAATAAAAAGAACCCCACCACCAGATTTGGGTTAGCTCCAAGGCTATTTCATTTCAACTTCCTACCAGTAACCATATTGCTCTCAATGGTAAATTGCACAGGATTAATAGGAAGGAAGAAGGATGGGCTTGTGGTTACAATAGTGGTCTGAGAGCCAGAAGTCTTTGCTACAAATTTACAATGGAACTTTGGGCAATTCACTTTGATGTTCTGTGCCTCAGTTTTCTCATTTACAAAACAGGATATAATATTCATTAACCAGTCCAAGATGTAGATAGGGGACATTCCTGTTCAGAGGTAGACTACACTTAGATGTTTGGGGTTGGAAGTGCTTCACAGTACTACTACTACTACTAAATATTACTATTTATTTTTTGAGTGTGAGTTTCTCTCTCATGGTGACAGCATTGCTACCATGTCAAGTAATACAAGCAGTGTCTAAGATACTACTCTGCACAGCTCCAGGTATCATCAAGAAGAAAGACAAAGTTTGAACCCAGCACCAGACAAATATCAAACTCCCTTCTAATTCAGAAAACTTGTCATCATCATAGAGGAAGACATGGGAAGGAAGGACAGTCATGTAGCTTAGGTTCTAGATTAGGGCGTAGCTGGATTTAACTCTTAGATTCCATTTGTGAATTTGTCACTTAATCTTCTTGTGCTTTGGATGAGGATACTACTTGTTTTCTTGTACCGTTGTCTGTCTGGGCTATTTAGACTTTAAGCTTTAAGGGTAGGGACTATGTCTTCTGCATGTTTGTTCAATGCCCAGCACAATGGGATGCTGGTTACAGGTAGAAGCTCTTGATGAACAAATGGCACAAATGATTATAAAAGCAATTACTAACTGAAGTTACTATGACATATTTTTAAACTTGTTACAGATTTTCTGCATAGATGGGCACTTAAATCCACCTTCTCTAATGTTTCAGATGACTATGTGCCATGGAGTGTACCAAAACGTGAGATGATTAAACCAAACAATAAATATCATCCATCAGAAGAAAAATTTGACCACAGAACCACTATCCAGGATGACTACCAGTTTAAGGGGCCAGTTGCCACGAAGAGCTACAAACCTTTGAATTTGGTCCAGAAGAATATGACTCCCTTTGAAAACCTGACAAATTATATGTTGAGTTATGTACCACATCCCCTGGAGAAACGCTTTGTCTATGAATATGAAAAGTATAAGCCCTCTGATATCCCATTTGATGGCCTCACCACCCACAAACAATCTTACAGGGGGCTGGCTGGCCTGCCAGCCAAGCCAATGAAGCCACACCATACAGTGCCATGCCATGATGTCCCATTTCCTTCTTCCACAGAGTTTCGGGACAAATATTTGCTTTGGCCACACCCTCCCATATCTGTCAAAAAACCTGCTGTGTATGTCCCTCCTGTGGAGAAAATGGACCTTAAGACAACTATGCAAACCCATTACACACCCCATAAGGGCCAGCCTGCCAAGTCATGTCAGCCACTGGCCCAATTTAAAAAAGGCACCATGCCCTTTGACAGCTGCTCCACCATGAAGGATGACTACAAGGCATGGCAGTGTGCAAAAACAAAGCCCATTATACATGCACCAGAACTGAAGGTGGCAGAAGAACCAATGGATTACTTGACTACTTTTCAGACCCATTATGTGCCCCACCCACCTACTTTCACAAAGAGCTTTAAGCCAGGTTGGTCAAGTCTGCGGTCTGTCACACCATTTGAAGGACAAACCATCTACACAAGCAGCTACACACCAAAGAAGATTGCCAGGTGCCTTGCCTCTTACAAAGAACCACCAGGCTACGTGTTTCAAGAAATTGATCCTGTTGGTCACAAATTCTACCTTCCTGTTTTAGAGACTGAACGCCCAATGCATTCAACGGGTAAAGAGCAAGAAAGTAGCCTTTCTGGGAATGGACTTAGCCTCCAGGAGCTAGCAGTGACAGGCTGATTCTTTTTGGAACTTTCTTTAAAACTGACCATGCCTTTTATACCCTGAGAGATCTTAAAAATAAGTTTTAGTTCCAGGGACCTGCTCTTTCAGGAGTCTGAATAAAGAAGAATCCCACCACCCAGGGGAAGAATATTTTAGTTGTCTGTTGGTTGTCCTTGGTTGTGTGTTCTTCCCTGCCCCCTCATCCCTAACCCTTCAGAAACAAACCTCCAAACTTAAGAGATGTGTATCTCTTGGCAATAGATTCCTAGCTTGTAAGTACATCAAGTGTTTGACTTCCTTGGTGATGAAGGTATTATAATAGCATAGATAAGTGATTCTCAACCATGGTGCCTTGAGGGACTTTCAAGGATGTTGTGTAATGTTAGCACTGTTAGGTATGCAAACATGATTCCCAAGATAAACCCAGAGATTTCAAAAAGGAATCCATAGTATCAGAAGCATGCTGGCCTGTTGTGCTCATTCTGGATTCCTTGGACAGAAGAATTGCTTTATTGCTTTTCTGTAAACAAAAAACAAGTAAAAATTAAGAGCTGGCATTTTCTGAGGGATGTCTTGAGGCTATTGAGGGAAGCCTTGAGTCTACAAAGGCTATTGAGGGATGCCTTAAGTCTAAAAAGCTACAGATAGATGTTTGATTTGAGCTGAAGAGCCCAAGATCTAGTGACTGCATCTAAAACAGACAAGAAATATTGTTATCTAAAGCTAGATTTGTTATGCTGCCTTTATAAACTTCCCTGGAAATTTCACTTGTGCATAAGGTATTTTTAAGTTCTTTCTCTCTACAGTAAATTTACTGTGCCTGGCAAAGGTGGCCTCAAGCTAACTGTGCTGTTCCATGTAGGCTGCCTTCTAGGCTGAAGCACTGTAGCTTTGTTTGTTTAGCACCATAGGATTATAGAAAAGTATAACTGGAAGGGATCTCATGAGGTCACCTGGTCCAGCCCCCTAGCTAAATCATGGATGGGTGACTTAGCATGGAGAAAGGTTAATTGGCACTGTCACTCAGCAGCACTGATTAGTAGGGCTGTGCTAAACAGCACAGTTTGTTTTTTACTTCTGTTTCGCCATTTCAAAGGGACAGTGTTTTGTTTTGCTGTTTTGAAGCACTGTTCCGTTTTGTTTTGTTGAAACTGTTTCACTGTTTCAGTGTTTCACCCATAGGCTATAATGGGGAATAATGAAAATACCTATAACTTTGTCATGCCTTGCCTGACTCAGATGAAAATTACAGGGATGGTAGCCCCTCTGAGGGCATGAAGCCTGCCACGTTTCAAGGAGATAGGTGCAGGGTTTTCTGTGAAACTGCACCTCAAACTGTTCAAAGCAAAACTAGAATCACTTGCGGGCAGTGGCAGCATGCTGTCATCCCGCACGCAGATCTGAGGCCCACTGCCCTGGAAGGAGTCTGGCACAGCCCCACAGCCCTCCCAGGGGATGCAGGCTCCCAATCTGCGTGTGGGGTTTCAACACGTTGCCAGTTCACGAGTTCCCGGTTCAATTCCCCAACTCCCCAATCTTTCCCCCAGCTCTCTGATCCTTTCTCCCAGCTCTTCCTGTGGGGTGCAGGCCCCTGGATGATGCGAGATGACACCAGGCTGCCACTGCCAGCTGGGGATGATGGCAGCTCTGGGCTACTTCTCCAGATGGCAGTGGCAGCCTGCTAAAACCTCACATGCAGATCTGGGGTCTGTGCCCCCCAGGAAGAGCTGGGGAAATGATCAGAGAGCTGGGGAATCAAACTGGGAGCTCTGGCTGACAGGTGGATCTGCCACAGCTCCAGAACAGTCTATGGTGCCCTGCTGAGCTGTGCTGCATCCGCACGATGGTGCAGCTGCTGTGCGGGTGCCAGGCGGGGGGTGATCCCTGTTGCCCTGCACTGCGTGGGGGGCTCTGCTGTGAGTGCCCAGAGGCCCCAGTTGCCACTGCCAGAGCCAGTGAGTATAGGACTTTTTTTTTTAAAGCTCTGCACCCACTGGCTGTGGAGCATGCGGATGACAGTATGCTGCCACTGCTGGCTGGGTCCAGTGCCAGCACCCAAGTCTGCTGGGAAGAACCTAGTGCTGGCGCTGGCCTCAGCCAGCAGCAGCAGCCCTCTGTCATCCTGCACACAGGTCCAGGAGGGCTGCGGGGCTGTGCCAAAGGGAGCAGGCCCCCGGATCTGCATGTAGGATGACAGCATGCTGCCAGTGGCGCTGTCGGCAAGTAATACTGGTTTTACTTTGAACAGAAACTTTCGAAATGTTTCAAAGCCTTTCATTTCATTTTGATTACGCTGTTTCGAGCTCAAAACATGTCAAAACAGCTTCAGAATGAAATACCCATCAAAATTTACCACAGCTCTACTAATTAGCCTATTCAAAATGCTGCATCAATAGATTAGGAGGCAACGCAGTGATCTTGAGGATCCCACTGCCAGGTATAATAAGTTTATTGTGCAAGTATGGTTTGTTTTCACATACCATTAGTGTTGTTGCCCACCCTTGCATTTAAATAGAAACAGAGGTGGTTACTATATTGTTCTGTTATTCTGAAGTTGGACAGAAGGTAGGGCATGGTGGCATCTTAAGCAGAAAGTAGGGCAGTGTGACATTTTAAAGCAGTGATTCTCAAGCAGGGTGCTGCAGCACTCTGGGGTGTCTTGAGATTCTTTCAAGGGTGCCATGGAGTGCCACACAATGTTAGCACTGTTAGATATTTAATATGCTTCACAAGATAAACCCAGGGTTTTCAAATAGGAATCCACAGTGTTAAAAGCACTCTGACCTATTGTGATTTTTTTCTCAGCTCTTTGCAACAGAAAAATTGCTCTATTATTTTTCCCTAGTCAACCCCCCCGCCACAAGAGCTGGCATTTTCTGAGGGGTGCTGAGAACCACTCTCTTGGAGTGGTCTAAGTGGTTCAGAGTGGCACGAGCTTTCATAGGCAATAACCTACTTAATCACCTGAAGTCACCTGCTGATTAAATAGCAAATGAAGCAATCTCTCTGTGTAATGTGCATTTTGTCATGGAAAAATCTTAAGTTATGGGTGCTGACAAC